TTTGGGCTTTCCAGATCAATCCCGTTGACTAGTGATTGCTGATGGCAATCATGTATGTAGAATAGTGATATCTTGGTTGCGAAATTTTCGCACAGCTCACGAAGAATGTTTATGTACTGAGTAGGCACTCCTTGACCATCAAGGGCTTGCGTGACTGCTTCAATCTCCATTGAATCAAAGGCCTTCTGTAAATTGATGAAAGTGAGACAGAGCGGTTTTTTGTACTCTTGCGATACTTCACTGAGCCTAGTTTACCGTGCAGATGTGGTCCATCGTACTAAATCGTTTTCGAAACCATGCTTGCTCACATGGCTGTCCTTCGTCCAATGTCCTGTCAATCCTCTTCATCCTCGTAAATCCTGTTTAGGATGACTCGAGTGAAAAGCTTGCAAGCGACGGACAGCAAGCAGATTGGGCGGTAGTTGCCGATATCGCGTAGGTCACCCTTCTTGAACAGCAACACAGTCTTGCTGATAACGTGTGAAGAGCAGAGCTAGTGTGTTTACGACGACTGGCGGAAGGTTCTTCAGGTGTTCTGGTCTTATCCTGTCTGGACCTGGTGGTGTTCGGTGTTTCACCGACGAAATAGCATGTCGGATTTCGGAAGGGAGAACCGCTGGTACAACATATCCATCCTCCTTTATTTCATATGATTTGATTTTCTCCATTACCTTTCTGGACGCTGTAACTGTTCCGTCTGGGCGTCAAAGTGCATTCATCTTGGTCCTGTAATTGGCGAAGCTTCGGTGGGCTTGGCGAATGCTTTTCCCAGCCTCTGCAGCTTCGAACATTGTTGCTGCTCTTCTCTCTTTAAGATCTTCTTTTATCGCCTATCCGCATTGTTTTGCAAGTTCGTACGTTAGTTCGGAGTTGCCTGTAGCTCGTACAATTCCACGCTGGCGTATTAGTTCGAGTGTTTCTGGAGACAGACGTCTCTTGGTGACTTTCGAACTATGAGCTTTCATAGGGCTAACGTGAAAATGTTGAATGAGCCGGTCGTATTCTCCGTCGATGTTATCGACAACGGCATCTTCCCAACAGTCGACTAATGAATTGAATAAGTTCCAGTTTACGGTGGTTCTGGGACTCCGGTTTTTGAATTCAGCGGCTTTTTCTCCTTTACGCGAGAAATAGAATCTTGCACGAAGGAGACGGTGGCCTGATCCCTTGTAGAATTTTGGGACAACGACAACATCGGTTAGGCAAAACTTTCTCCTATGATATGGTCTTTCTCGCTATGGTACTCTCTATTGGGAGACTCCCACGTCCAGCGTTGAGGGTGGGGCTTCTGGAATTGCGAGTTACCATGGACGGTCTTGGTCGCGATGATAAACTGAGAAAGCCGCTCACCCTGTTCATTCCATTCTAATCCATGAGTCCCAATGTGACGTTCTTCAGACGTTCTTCTTGGTCCAATCTTGGCGTTGAAATTTCCAGTGATGACTCTTCCAAGTCCGTATAGAACGCTTCGACTTCTTCGTCATGATTTAATGTCGGAGCGTAAACGTCGGATTCGGGTTGTAAATTGTTCGAATGAATCAGTGTTTATGGCTAAATTCATGTTGACGAGAACGCCGACGCCGCCGACTCCTCTGCTATCGTGTGTTCCGAAGAACAGTTCTTCTCCGGTGTCATGGACGGCGTTGAAAGACTGGTGTCTTCTCGTCTCGGCCAGGCCGATGACGTCGTACCTTAATCTTCCTGCTTGCATGAACAAATCTGCCGAGGACTCGGATGCAAGTGTACGTACATTGTGGGTGCAGATCGTCTCCATAGTTCTTTTTAATCCAGGCAGCTTCCATTGGCTCTGAGATTTTAGCAGCCTCTCCGTACTGGTCCTATCAACGCTCCGAAATAGGGGATCTTTCGAGGTCAAGGGAATGAGGCCCGTTTTTTTTTAAACTGTGTTTAGCACTTTTGATACCCACGTATAGCTTGCTGGGCTCTGAACGTGGGGGCTGGGTATACTCACGGGTGGCTTACCAGGCCCTCCCAGGGTGGACATGGAGCTTATTTGTTGGAGGTGACTTCTAACTGCCTCCCATAACTTCCCCGTCACTTGATTGCAGGCATTTAGTCGAATTGACTAGCAGAATACAATCCGCATAATCGAGAACGCACCCGCACACGCGTGTATGCATACTCCTCGTAAATACAGAAAGCATTTGTCAAGTTGGCGCAGCAGAAACAGGGGTTTCATCATCCTCTGGATCCACCTGCGTCTCAGGGAAGCAAAGGTCGCTTTTGGTCCTCGACTCGACTAGCTGGCTCGAGATCCCTCATATAAGGGAGATCCGTTGGTGTCCATTGATAACCTTACGTCTAACGACCCCTCAGTAGTCAAGGTTAGACCTGTCGTCACGTTTGTACGGGCCTAGGAACAGTACAGCTAGGTTCATGAACATAATACTCATTCAGTTATTTAAACATATTCCAGCCCATCTGACGAATACACAAATGTATCTGGATCTCCCACGTAAAGCGCGTCCTTACAGCATGAATGTGATGGAGTCCTTCAACGTAACTACCCTTTATACTAAGGTGTCGAATGGCTCCGTAATGCAAGCTGTTACCGAGAGCCTTGTGCACCAAGAAGGAGCAATAAACATGTTTGGCCTCTCGATTCAGCACCTGATGGTGCTTAAAAGAGCGCCTAAACTACTCAATCCTCAAATGGTCTGGGAAGTACTACTCACAAATTAGAGGTCAGGAATGAGATAACGACTGGCATCAAGCCTTGGTATTGGGTTCATGTCTAAAGTTCAATTCCTTATACTCGGTCCATTACTGTACTATAGGTATATCAGGACTGTTTTCTCATCTGCTCAACATGGGAGGAGATCGATAAATGTTTAGAATTGCTAAATCAGCAGCCAGAATGCATAAATTCCACCCGAAAATACCGAAGAAAGGCCGATTTCCATTTTTGAGCGTTCGAATTAACCTATCCAGAAACGTCTACACCACCAAGTGGTACCGACAGGCAAGTTATAAAATCGTACTAGTTGATTACCTCTCCTCTCACTTTTCACACGCTAAAAGGGTACATGTGAGAAAGGTGTTTTGTGAAGCCGCCATTGTGTCTACAAGAAGAGAGCAGAAGGAGGGATCTCTGGACTTGGCACAAAAATAGTAATTTGCAACTGCAACGACGTGATAGCCACTCGGGATAGGCTTAGGGGGAAAAATACGCTCTAAAACGACAAATGTAGTTAGGATAAGGTCCCGTTTATCCTGCATTTTATTTGAAATGAATTAAGCAGGGCCGTGGAGCATTGCCTTTTTTAGAGCACCTATAGGGGAGGTGTAAAGTCAAGTTAAGTACTCTACTGAGTGCGTACAGGAGCCACAGATATAACAGAGAAAATTTTGAAGTAGGAGTCATAATTATCGCACAGAAATCTTAAACTTTAGCTCGTAGAAGATTTGAAACGTCTTGGTAGACTCTAAAAAATCCGAAAATGAACCTTAAAGAGGAATGTCTTGTGATCATGTTTGATCTTGCTCCATATCTCAGATGGATTTTATGACCTGAGCCAAACACATTTCTCATCCATGTAGGGCTCCGTTAGGGTGGTCTCCAATAACAACCGAGGGTTCGAACCGAACTGCAAAACAGTGTTTAAGAGAAGCTGCTCACAGTGCGATTATTCATTTATTTATTGTTTTTTCTTCTGAGGTTTTATTAGTGTTTAACTGTGTGGATTGCGTGCCAGTGTAACTCTTCCAGGCTCTGAAGAAGGCGAAACCGCCGAAACGTCAGCCAGTATTGTAGTGAATAAATCTTGTGATTAACTGCCTCATTTTTGCTCCCCAAGAAAGCAGTGTATTATTGATCAATACCGGCGTTAAAAGAAAGTTGGTTTTGAGATTGTCATGATCATTTAATTGGGGAAGCTTGGCGATAGTTGCGCGTGTTCCCCAACTTCTGCAGGTTTCAAGTTTCCAGTGAAGAGCTTGGTGGAGACTTTTTTTTCTTAAAACTTTTTCCGTTATCTTCTAGACTCCATAGATTGTCAAAGCCACACCCACAAGACACCTGTCCGCACTTTTTCAACCGTAAACATCCGATTCGAGTGCGTTTGCGATTACACCAAAGCAGGCCGCTCCTCTATCATGGTTTTTATCGAGAAATAGTTCTTGTGAGGAGTTTCATTCCGTTTTTGCCGAGAGTTATCCACGGGAAGCTTGCTATGCTCTAGCGTGGGTTAGATATATCCACAGGTCCTATGTATTTCTCAACTAAGTTTGGTAGGCTTCTGACCGAATTAACGACACATGTATGTGCAAGCAGTTGTTCATGAATGCGTGTACATATAAAAGGATAACGCTCTCTGCGTTGACCATTCCCTGAGGGATGCGCCATGCATTCGATTTCGTTAAGCATCGTTTGGAAGTAAACCTGCCATTGTATCTAGCCAGTGTTGCTATCCTCCCAGACAAGTCTGGTACCAATTTGTTGACTCCGAGGGATGGAATGCTTAGTGGACTATGGGGGCAGAATCAATTCCACGTGTATGTTGCAGAGCGCCTCCGACCACTGCACTGTGCCACACGCGCCCACTACGTTCACATATAGGAACATGCAAAAAGTGAATATCAAGTCGAAACTGGGAATATATCGAGTGCATCTTAGAGTTTATCTGCGTCTCAGAATAAGTACAAAGTTGTTTTTGGTCCACGAATAACCCAAATTCACCACTTGTAGATGCTTCAAATAGCAACTCAATTAACTGGCTGGAGGTCTTTGACGAGGCTATTAATCTGTACTGTTAATGCGCATTCCTCTTTTTCTTATTTAACGTTTTCTCCCTACCAAAAGCGTTTATTGAACTAGGATTAGATATCTCCTCTCTACTAATAGTCCCTCTTGTTCTCAGTTATTCCATAGGTTTGAAATTATCCAACTGCGAGTTATTTCCAAGTATTAGGATCGTTTGGCAATTTGGTGAATGGGAGTCTTGTGGATAATGGATGGATTGTTGAGAAGCAACAGCTCGATGGTGATCCTAGTAGGTTCAACCTTCTTGCTACCCGTAAGCCATTGGCTGAAAAAGGTAGGTTTAGAGTTGCTTAGAGAAATTTCAATTGCTTAACTTACTTCAAGTGTACTCAGTACCGTTTAATTACTTTTGATGCAAGAAAACTTCACTTTTTCACTTGTAAAACACTTTTCTTTTTTAATACTTTTAGAGCAACTGTATTTTTTTAAAAATTGTGGAGTTGGATGTCAGTAAGCTATTGGAAATCGTAGTTGTTTCAGCTCCACTAATAGTATTTAATACACATCTCGACACAGTACCTCCGTATATTCCGCCTACAGAAGACAAAATGAATATCTACGGTCGTGGCTCGAATGATGCTAAAGGTCCGCATTGATCACTCTATGTGGTATATATAGTATTACACCACCACGTTAAGGACAGCTTGCTTGTATGATCTCCGCTGCGAAATTCTTAGTAGAATCTCATCCAGCTGTCGCAGATCGGTTAGCTCTACTGTTTGTCGTTGGTGAAGAAGTGGATCACATTGGAATGACGGTAAGGTTAGAACTACAGTAATCCACTCTCATGTTCATCTAGTCCCATTTTCTGCGTTGCTGAGTAACAGAAATAATGAATAAAAAATGTAAAGCAATAAGAATTTTGACACATACACTGACTATCATTATACGTCAAACTTTGTATTGTTCTGCAGTTGAGATATTTTTGACATAAAATTTGGAAAACCATTAGCTTTTTTAACACATGCCTCACGACATCCATTGATTTCAATACATAAGTCTTAGAATAATTTCGTCTTTTAACTTTGAAGAAATTAATTTGGATAAGAGCCATTAGACTCTGAAGATCTGGCGGAAAGGTAATTTTTTATATTCTACCGGAATTGGATCTTTGGCGTAGGAAGTGCAGTGCCTAGAGAAGCTGTTCAACAATTCATGCGTTTTCGCTGAGTCAGTCATACTGTGGGTTAAACAAGCACCCTATCTCTCGATACTTAGCAAGTCGGCACCAAACTTATCTGGGGAAAACTCCCTCCGCTACGTAGAGGTGGGCGATCCCAGGATTCCTAGGAGAGTCGACTTGGCTAGCATTCAGCGTCATTCACATTTGGAAGCTCAATCCATTCGCCAATCGGAAGACAACTGTGACTGACAAATACACGACATGAAGTTGAGTGATGGACATTGTAGGAGCCGCCAAATGTTGGGTTATATAAATAAATGAGCTTTAACTGTCTATTTGTTGATACAATCAAATAAATAGCCAGGTCTCAGATTTTCTGGATCTCTCGAGTCGTTTTTCTTTGCTCATGCTGCCTAGACCTCTCTCCCGAAGGCGCGATTGAACAAGCGAGATTATCCCTACCACTAAGTCGTCACTACGCACTCTGTGCGTCAAATTTTTAAAAAATATAAACTTTACCTTCAATTTTTTAACTTTTTGGACCCTAAATGTATTTAGTATTCAAGTAACATTTTGGAAAAGCACATATACCTTTATATCGATGGAGCAAATTTTCTTTCACTGTTCTATCAAGTTTTCATTTCCTCAGTTGTCCAGTTATGGAATAACTATTGCGCTTTTCGAACAACCACAATGCTCCTCAATGTCGTTAAAACCGACTTTCATTAAACCTCGGCGTAAATGATCAATATTTTTTTGCTTAATTGAGCTCACACGAGGTTGGTATGAAAGAAAAGATTTTTATTCGGCTAGCATTTCGGTGCTTTCGCTTTCTTCAGAGTTGCGTTGATCTGTGTCAATGGTGCATAGCTTGTCATTCTCGTGATGTGGATGTTCGTGGTCGCATCGAGTCGAATCCAGTGGAGAGAACACCACTTGAATGAAGGATAAGGTAATCTCGGGCTTGAATCTGCCCTGGCGTTCAAGTTTTCCAAATGTCTCAGAATCGCAGGTGTATGCGGTGGGGAACGAACGCGCTATTGTTCTTTCCGGGGAGTAGCGCACTTCACTACCACACCATCCGGGTCCTTCGTTTTGCCTGCCTCTCAGCTAGTCGTATTGATCTTTTGCCATCAGCAATCACCCGTCAACGGGATTGATCTGGGGAGCCCAAATCGGCATTGAACCCAGTTAAGCTGAGGCTTAGTTATAATCACAATCTTAACCCTTTTATTTACTGCCTTTTTCTTTTACTGCATTATATACGAGTTATATTTTGCAACATACCCTGCCATTAAAAATAAAAAGGCAGTAAATAAAAGGGTTAAGATTGTCTCAGAATCGTTGTGGTTGTGTTTCACAAAATACGCTTCAATGAAAAAAGAAATAGGGTAATAAAAAGTTAAGCATTATGGAAACTTCATGGAAGAGGTTCTCCCTCCAATGGTGGATTCGATTTGATGCGAGAAAGAGGTGCCAGAACTTTACCTGAATAAGAGCCTTTCATACCAACCTTATCTTATATCAACCACATGAAAAATATTCCTTGCTAATGTGTTGAAATTCGATTATCAAAAAATTGCTATTTATTGTGTAAGCCTGCAGAAGTACTACAACTTGTTTCAAGCAATTTTCTCAGTATCCGTAACTTTTTATTTACCGCCTATTATTTCTCTTTCACGGCAGAGTACTATGTGAAATACAACCACAATGATGCTAAGATATTTGAAACACTTGGACTCCAAGCCGGATTCGAACCTGCAATCACTCTTTCCAGGACTCACATGTTACACACTGAGACCCTTATCACTGATCAAAATCATCAGTGTTGTGGGCACATATTACTTGCTGTATATTAGCTATTGAATTCAGTAGTGCGGGAAATTTCTGAATAAGTTATTATTGGTTAATGTTCGATCATGTTCGAATGTTCGATGTTCGATTAGTATGGTTCTGCAACACACGTGGGATAGATCCCGCAACCGAGGCCCACCAAGCCTTCCATCCCTCCGGGGTCGGCAAATTGGTACCAGACTTGTTTGGGAGGATAGCAGCACTGGCTCGATACATCGGCGAGCCACTGCGAATCATTGTGAAGTGCGGATATGCATTCAATCACATCCAAACGGTACTTAGTAAAGTCGAATGCATGGTGCATCCCGCAGAGATTGATCAACGGTGAGAGCTTTTAGAGCGTTATGTTTGATTCCACACTCTGAAAGGATAGATACATTGATATCTTCAACTTTTATATACTACCTTTATTTTTTCATGACAGGGTATTAAGTGAAATACAGCCACAATTATGCTGAGGTTTGAGTATAACTCCCCAGACCAGCTTCGAACACACGATTGCTCTTTCCAGGGGATCACGCATTATCCACTACACCAACCTCGATTCTTGCTTTGCCTTCCACTCAGCCATTTTTTTTTACCTTAACGGCTCACCGTTGGCCAGTTTCAAGCTCACCTATGATTGCTAGTTTTGCTCATATTTCACCTTAATTGTGGTTGTATTCGCAGATTACCCTGCCATTTAAAAACTACAAGCAGTAAATTAGCGTTAAATATTGTAATTTCGAATGCAGCTTAGGCTTTACTGGATTGAATGGCGACTCGTGCTCTCCAAATCGTTCTCGTCTACGGGTGTTTGTTGATAGCACCATGAGGAGCTGGGGCCTCGGTGGTGCAAAAGATGCATCGATGGTTGAATACTCAGATAACCACATTGACAAATAGTTCTCTTTCCACTTTGTTACACTTATTTGTACCTATGGTCCATCCGATGGTCTGTTTCGTGGATGGCGATGTCTGAACAACATTACGCGTCCTTTGTATAATTCCTACCTTTGGACCATCAGAGTTGGTTTACGTGAGCTAGTGAGTTAGACTATGAAGTAGCGCCTGCCTCACTCCTTCCATTGCGTTGCCCTCAACTGGCTATTTTTTCTCAATCATCTCGATAAATAACAACTCGAAGATTTTTAAGAACAGACCCTTCGTCGCTTCCAGAACTTCAGGTTATGTTGTAGAAATAAACTTCACTCTTGCTGTCGAAAATATGTAGATTCTAGTATCTTGTTTAATCAGCCTTTATGAGTTGAGTTATGATAGTTCAAAATTTTCATGTACAAACAATCACAGTTTCTGCACTAACCTGGTAGTACTTACCCTTGCGGTGACTGAAATAATCTTTCTCACTGAATTATTTTGCGTTTCCACTTCGATAGTTCGCATTTACAGAAAGCGAATGACTTCGTTGGATTGAATCCCGATTACTTGATAGTGGGTGAGCCAACGGAAATGAAGTTTGCCACAATCCAGAAAGGCGCGCTAAAAGTGAGTCAACTTCCATAGCACATTTCCTCAATACTAGTGATAATCCACCTAATCATGGTTAGATAGTTTTTCTCCTACTGCATTACGGAAAAGTAATATAATCTACTGCACTACAGAAAAATTAAAAATTTCTAGAAAATACACATTTCAACGTGTTATTAAGGTGATAGTACGATGTAAGGGCATCGCCGGTCACTCTGGATATCCTTCCCAAGGAAAGAGTGCGATTCACATGCTTATACCAGTGTTGAACGATATCCTCAATTACGAATGGCCTAGTGATGCAGTTCTTGGTAAATTTTGGCATATCTTGACTGAATTTTATGGGTTTCGAAGTTGCTGGTTGTCCAAAAATGTACTGGTTAGCGTAGTGGTAAAACTAACTTTTCTTCTTACTTACACCCTTCATCTTTTCTTATTTTTTGAAGCGTATCGTCTCAGAAGTTCCTTTGGATCTATGTGATTTGTGTAAAACATGACGAAACCAAAGGTGAAATCTATTTATGTAAGATGGATAAATATGTGTAGTTCTACCGATTAATGTATAATGCGTTTCGACGAGATAAATCAGGAGAGTCGAATGAACACCGGTATTGTTCCTGCACTAAGGAAAGTATGAGCAAAGAAATAAAGTCTAAAAAAAAGTTAAAAAGCAAAAAGCTAGTATAGAAGAGCTTTTGGTGTTTGGAAATGGCCATCACTGATTCCATCCACTCTTCCAAGCTATCAAAAATCCCCGTCCTTCCAAGGCTGGTTAATTGGTATGTCACTGTTTTATTCTTTAGCAAACACAAGATTGTCAATAACAAGATCTATTCAATACAGTACTGGCTGACGTTTCAATGCTTTCTCCTTCTTCAGAGTCGTTCAATCCTCTATAAGTCTTTCAGTTTTTCTTGGAGAATAGCCGCACAGAGAGTGGAGAATGTCCACATCCATGTTAATGACAACCTCGTTTATCCTCAGGGATAAAACTCTGACACGTTGAACAATGCCGAGGTTAATAGAAAGGAGCTCCTGAAAATTGGTATGTCGCTAGTGGACGTGTCATTGCCTTCTCTACGTAACGACTGATCTACCTTTCAATGGCGCTGTATAGACTGAACTCGTGTTCCCTTTTTTAGGAACTTGAAAAAAAAGGAACTTTTTTAGAAATTTTCGGACCACAACGAGTACGTTTATGTACACCAATGGTACCACCCACCAAAGTCACCTCTCATTTTTTGAAATGGCGAAACTCCTTGAAATTCCTTATTTTTACCTACTACCGCGTATTTTTCGATAACTAGTGTAATCGAAGAGTCAAGAACATGATTATTTTATAGAAGATGATTTCGTCTGTGACCGTAATAGTACAAATAGTTTTGGCATAGATATATATAGCACATTGGCGCGTTCGTTCCCCACCATAGACACCTGCGGTCCAGAGTTTTGCAAATATCTCAGCAACGTTTTGGCATAGATAGTTGATATATCTATTTATATGATCTTATAAATTGATCTTTAGCTGATGCGAGGTTGCCATATGTCTTGGCTGTCGTTGTCGTTGTTGTTGATGTTGTTGGTCAATGGCTGACGTTTCGGCGACTTCACCTTTCTTAGGGTCTGGACATATTTTATATTAGAATACTTTAATTATTCGCTGGAAAAAAGGCTAAAGTATTAATGAAGATCAAACTTTCAAATAGACGCCATATTGAACAACAAGGCTACTTACCGTGATGTTACGAGTGGGACTGGCCCACGAGTTGTTCACGTGGAGTCGCGAGCAGGACACACCCCGGGGTCAAAATATCATTTTGAGATAGGGCGCCAGGTCACGCGTGATAGTGAGGCATTCTTCCTTCCGGTTCATCTTTGGATTTTTGAAATTTATCCAAAACGCCTCAAGAGTTTTTCGCGTTGATGTTTTTGATTCCTGCGCTAGGATCCGCACATTCACTTCAAAATCATCGCCGTTGTGCTTTTGTGCTTTATGCGTACCTAGAGGAGTTTTTAGATGGATTTTAGCTTTACCATCTAGATGTTCTTTAATGCGGACACAAAGTGATCTACCCGTTTCCCCAAAATATTCCTCACCGGATGCGTTACATAAGATCAAGTATATTATATCTGAACTCTTGCGATCCCCGTCTCTCCCGTTAGGACAGATCGTACAGTTTTCTTAGCTGCACAGACGATCATAGAGACGGTTGCGAACTAACTGACGGCGTAAGGTATTGCGTGAGATGACAATAATCGTTACGTAATTTTCAAGACCACTTCTTCTTAAGCACCTCTTGATGGCGTGACTTACTTCATTTGATATGAAGAGTAGCTTAAAACGGATCTTACTTACGTCCGAAACATTATTTTAGGTAACTACCCTAGCTATCCTAGGTTTTTCTCTAACCCGAGTGGCTTCTACTTCATAGCTATTGGAAATGGTTATTTTTCGTGCCAGGTTTTGTGATTCCTTCCTTTCCTCTTCTCCTGTGCACAAATTTTTAGCCGTGCGGTACATGTTTTTGATTAGTGCTTTTTTCATGTGTGAAGAATGAGAGGAGAGGTAATGAACTAGAATGTTTTGAAGGAAAGAGAAGAGGAAAGTTAGGAATGGCAAAATCTGGCACAAAAAATAGCCATTTCCAATGGCTACGAAGTAGAAGCCACTCGGGTTAAACAAAAACCTACGGTAGTTCCCCAAAATAATGTTTCGGACGTAAGTAAGATCCCTTTTAAGCTACCTTTCATATCAAATAAAGTAAGTTACGCCAATAAGAGATGCTTAAGAAAAAGTGGTCTTGAAAATTATGTAACGATTATTGACATCCCCCAATACCCTACGATGTCAGTTAGTTCGCAGCCGTTTCTATGATCGTCTGTGCAGCTCAGAAAACTGTACGATCTGTCCTAATGAGAAAGACGGGAATTGCAGGAGTTCAGGTATAACATACTTGATCTCATGTAATGCATGCGGCGAGGAATATATCGGGGAAACGGGTAGATCACTTTGTGTCCGCATTAAAGAACATCTAGATGGTAAAGCTAAAATCCATCTAAAGACTCCTCTAGGTACGCATAAAGCACAAAAGCACAACGGCGATGGTTTTGAAGTGAATGTGCAGATCCTAGCGCAGGAATCAAAAACATCAACGCGCGAAACTCTTGAGGCGTTTTGGATAAATTTCAAAAATCCAAAGATGAATCGGAAGAACGAATGCCTATCACGCGTGACCTGGCGCCCAATTTCAAAATGATATTTTAGACCCCGGGGCGTGTCTTGCTCGCGATTCCACGTGAACTACGTGTGGGCCGGTCCCGCACGTAACAACACGGTGAGTGGCCTTTCTGTTCAATATGGCGTCTATTTGAAGGTTTGATCTTCATTAATACTTTAACCTTCTTTTCCACCGAATAATGAAAATATTATTATATAAAATACGTCCAGGCTGTGAAGAAGGCGCAGTCGCCGAAACGTCAACCATTAACCAGCAACACCAACAACAACGACAACGACAATGAAGACCTATACGAACCTCGCATCAGCTAAAGAAGATCAGTTTATGAGGTTATATAAATAAATTCTTTGTATTCTTGTTTAGCAAACACGAAGTGTTATTTTACTTCTTTATTCACGTTAGAGCCTGGAAAGGTGAAGTTGACCGAACTCTACCCAGCCAAACACTTCCGTAACCAAGCAGAGAAAATGCTAAACCAAGAAGGTTTCAATCACGTTGAACGCAGAATAACCTATTTGCACACTCACCGCTTTCTATAAGTCTTCCACTGAATATTTCACGTGGAGGACAACCGCACAGTGCGATACTCATAGAAAGCGGTGGGTGTGCAAAGAAGTTATTCTGTGTTCAATGTTATTGAAATTTTCTTGGTTTAGCATTTTCTCTATTTGGTTATGGAGGTGTTTGGCTGGGTAGATGGCGGTCAACTTGTCTTTTCCGGACTCTGAGGAAGGAGAAATTCGTTTTTCTAAGGTTTTAGAGCAAGCATGGCAGATAAAAACATCAGCGATGCATTGTGGCACATCACCTCGTTTAGCTGTATGGGAACTCGCTTCCTGAATCTCTTCACGATCGCGAAAAAATCTAAATTTTAGCGCTGTTGAATAAACAAAGCTCATTTTGTTGGGAAATATGTGAAGAGTCTAAGGGCTTTCGCTTGAAATGATGAAGTTTGCTACGAGCCGATACGAATGTATAAACTTGTATAACTTGGATCTATTCTGCACCTGTTATAACTGCACAGTCCACACCATAGTTATGATTCATTGTAGCGATTGAGATCTAAATAACAGTCATTTTCCAGTTAGGTTATCGTCAAATGCATCTTTTTCCGAAAAATGTCTTTTGTACATTTCTAGATGCAGACCGCCATAGCTTCCGTCTTGAATTAGTTATCGACTTATTAGAAAAAAAGAGTTTCATGCGCGGAAATAAACTGTCAGAAGGAAAGTTACCACTGTAGAAGTTAAACCGACCATAATTTCCCCTTACCAGTGGCTCCTATAAGAGTCACATCGCAAATGTGTTTATAGTGTTTCATTGACATTCTTGCGAATTTTAATTGAAGGATCGACAACGGTGAACATTGGAATCATAGAAGGAGGACAAGCTCAAAATGCGTGGGCAGAGAACGCTCATGCGAGGATTTTCTTTCGTGTCACAACTTCCGTAGCAGATATTCAAGGGAAGCTTGAGTGCATTGTTGGAGGTATTTTCCTGCTTGTTTACAAAACTTGGATGTTAATTTAAACGCCATTCACATTGGGATAACATTTGTGTTCATTCATAAAAAGCTGCTTATAGCAGTAAAAGCTCTTTAAGAAAGCTTCCCTTGCTTCATAAGACTAAGAAATTGTTTTAAGTAAAGAATAGATGAAGGAAAAGGGTAAAGCGTTTGACATTGATCAATTCCTAAAGAATGCGCCATAAATTCGATTTCATGAAGCTTACCTAGTCATCTAAGCAGTGTTTTTATTTTCCTAGAAAGGTCTGGCACCAATTTTCCCACTGCGCAGCGATAGAGAGCATGTCGTTGTTGTTGGTGTTGTTGGTCGATGGCTGACATTTCGGCGATTTCGCCTTCCTCAGAGACGTGATGTTACGAGATAGGAAGCATGGTTGCTCCAAGTCGAGGGATCGAACCTGCGACGATCCAATGTGTGTTGCAGGGCTCCTATAACCACTCTGCTGCACGCATATTGCGAAATATCCAAAATCTAAAGAAAAATATCAAAGTTTATTGAGATCTCTATGTGTACATGGGAAAGAAAATCGTCGGATTTCTAGCAAACTTCATTTTATCATTCCTATGAACTTTATTGGATATTTCAACTAAACTACATATGTATTCCTTTATATTTCTGTTTAGCAAACGCGAGGTGTTATTTCATTTCTTTCTTTGCACGCAAGCTGACGTTCTGGCGCATTTCGCCTTCCTCAAAGCCTGAAAAGGTCAAGTTGACAGCAGTCTACCCAGAAACTTCCATAACCAACAGAGAAAACGCTAAACCAGGATTTCAATCACATCGAACACAGAATAGCTTCTTTGCACACTCACTGCTTGCTATGAGTCTTCCACTGAGCATTTCACGTGGAGACGTGGAGGTGAAGATTACTGTCAACTTGACCTTTCCAGACTCTGAGGAAGGCGAAATCCGCCGAAACGTCCACTTTCGTGCAAATAAAGAAATAAAGTAACACCTCGTGTTTGCTAAACAGAAATATAAAGAATTATTCAAGCAATGCCGATGTTAATAGAAAGTCGGTCGTAGGAGTTACATATGTATTTCGTCCACAAATCTCCCTCATGTGCGTGATTCCGATAACCAGTTAGTCGTCAGCCTACGTGGCGCTTCCTCACGTGACGGATAGGGGTTTAATCGCGGACCAAAATCGACCTTTGTTTCCCTGAGACGCAGGTGGATCCAGAGGACGGACTCCCTGTTTCTGCTGCGCCGGTATGGCACATACTTTCTGTGTTTGCTACACGTATTCATGCATGTGTGTGTGGGTGCGTTTTTGTTTATGCGGATTGTATTCTGCGAGTCACTTCGGCCAAAAGCCTGCAATCAAGTGACTGGGAAGTATATGGGGGGCGATTAGGAGTCGTCTCCAACAAATAAGCTCCATGTCCACTCTGGGAGGGCCTAGTAAGCTACCCGTGAGTATACCAAGCCCCCACGTTCAGAGCCCAGCAAGCTATATATGGGTATAAAAATGTTAAATGCAGTAAAAGAAAACGGACCTCATTCCGCTGACCCCTGAAGAGACCCCAATTCCGCAGCGTTGGGCAGGACGAGTACGGAGAGGTTGCTAAAATCTCAGGGCCAATGGAAGCTGCCTGGATTTCATAGAACTATGGTGACGATCTGTACCTACAATGGACATATACTTGTATCCGAGTCCTCGATAGAAGACTTACTCATGCAAACAACAAGGAAAAGGTACGACGTCATCGGCCTAGTCTAGACGAGAAGACGTCAGCCTTTCAACGCCGTCTATGGCACCGGAGAAGAACTGTTCCTCGAAACATACGATAGCAGAGGAGTCGGCGGCGTCGGCGTTCTCGTCAACATGAATTTAGCCATAAACACTGATTCATTCGAACAAATTACAACCCGAATCGGACGTTTACGATTAAAACATGTTGATCAATACCGGCTTTGGCAGTCTTCGTCGTTTACGCGCCAACATTAAACTATGACGAAGAAGAAGTCGAAGAAATCAATATGTACTTGGAGAAGTTCTACAGAGAAGACCACACATTCTTCAAGTTCATCATTGGAAATCTCGAGGCCAAGATTGGACCAAGATGAACGTCGCATTGGGACCCACGGATTGGAATAGAACGAGCAGACTGAGTGACTTTCCGAGTTTTTCATTGCGACCAAGACCATCCATGGTAACTCACAATTCCAGAAGCCCCACCTTCAACGCTGGACGTGGGAGTCTCCCAATAGAGAGTACCATAATTAAATAGATCACATCATAGTAAATAGTAGGCCTTGCCTAACCGTTGTCGCTGATGTCTCAAAGTTCTGTACGGGATCAGACCACCGTCTGCTTTGTGCAAGATTCTATTTCTCGCGGAAAGGAGGAAAAGCCACTAAATTCAAAACCCGAAGTCCTAGAATTACCGTAAACTGGGACTTGTTCACTTCATTAGTCGGTTGTTGGGAAGATTCCGTTGTCGGTAACATCGTCAAAGAATACGATCGGCTCATTCAACATTTTCACGTTAGCCCTATGAAAGCTCAGAGTTCGAAAGTCACCAAGAGACGTCTGTCTCCAGAAACACTCGAGCTGATACGCCTGCGTGGAATCGCACGAGCTGCAGGTAACCGCAAACTAACGTCCGAACTTGCAAAACAATGCAAACAGGCGATAAAAAGATCTTAAAGAGAGAAGAGCAGCAGTAATGGTTGTAGCTGCATAGGCTGGAAAAAGCATTCGCAAAACCCATCGAAGCTTCGCTAATTACAAGACCAAGATGATTGCACTACGACGGCCAGACGGAACATTTACAGCGTCCAGAAAGGTAATGAAGAAAATCATTCACGAATACTACTCAAATCTCTTCAATAGCCTCGTCCACCTTCCATTATATGAAATAAAGGAGAATGTATATGTTGCACCACCGGTTCTCCCTTCCAAAGTCCGACTTGCCATTGCGTCGGTGAAACATCGAACAGCAGCAGGTCCGATCAGGAGAAGATCAGAACACCTGAAGAACCTTCCGCCAGTTCTCGTAAACACACTGGCTCTGCTCTTCACGCGTTACCTGCCTGATTTACCTACTTAGTGGGAGACCAGCAAGACCGTGTTGTTGTTCAAGAAGGGTGACCCACGCGATATCGACAACTATCGCCCAATCTGCTTGCTTTCTGTCGTCTACATACTTTTCACTCGAGTCATCCCATATAATATTAACAGAACACTCGACGAAGGACAGCCATGTGAGCAAGCAGTTTCGGAAAGGATTTAGTACGATGGACCACATCCGCACCATAACAAAGCTCATTGAAGTATCGCGAGAGTACGAAAGACCGCTCTGTCTCACTTTCATCCATTTACAGAAGGCCTTTGATTCAGTTGAGATAGAAACATTCATGGAAGTTCTTGATAGCCAAGGGGTCCTTAACTCAGTACATAAAAATCTCAGTACTCAGTACATAAAAAATCTCAGTACTCAGTACATAAAAATTCTTCGCGAGCTATACAAAAATTTCACAACCAAGATATCACCGTTCTACAACGACATTAACATTGACGTTAAAAGAGTGGTTAGACAAGATATCGCCAAAATAGCACATAACATATCGCCAGAATTATTTACCGCCACCCTCCAGCACGTTATGCGAACATTGGAATGAGAATATTATGTGGGAGTGAAAATCGATGGTCGGCAGTTATATCATCTCCGCTTTCCTGATGACATCGTCCTTATAACACCAAACAGCCAAGCGGAACGTATGCTAGCCGACTTTGATGAAGCCTATGGAAAGATTGGTCTTCGACTAAATCTCACAAAAACGATGTTAATGAAGAACGGATTGGTTTCGTATGACCCATTCATGCTCAACGGAACGAATATCTCCGAATGCTACAGTTGTATCTGTCTAGATCGAGAAATCAATACGTTGAACGACTTAGCTCCAGAATTGAGCAGAAGAAAACAAGCAGCTTGGGGAACTTTCAAGAGCATCGAGGATGTAGTGAAGAAAACAAAGAACACCCGACTCCGTGCCCACCTTTTCGACTCAACGGTACTTCCTGCCCTAACGTATGCGTCAGAAACCTGTTCGCTGCTTAAGCAGGATGAAAGGTCACTCAGCGTTATCGAACGCGCAATCGAAGGGACGATGCTAGGAGTATTCCGTTCCACACAAGTAAGGGATGGGATTCGAAGCTCCAATCTCCGTCTAAGATGAAAAATCAAAGATGCCGTTCTGTACCCCAAGCAGTCGAAGATAAGGTGGGCCGAACACGTAATGCCTATGAATGACAACCGATGGACAAGAGCCGTTAGTGACTGGATTCCTCGGGATGTCAAACGTACTGCAGGAAGACCACCGACCTAATGGTCGGAGTTCTTCACGAAAAGCCTAGAAAAAGGATATGATGCTCGACGAGTCCCTAGAGCGAGCAGAACCCACTGGGCTACTCTTGCACGCGGCAGGGAAAAATTGAAGATTTACTGGCTCCCGCTCGAGTCACTCGATGATTAGCGGGACTACAGGTGATAGAGGCAACAGGTGATGTATTTCGTAGGTGCTCCACGTTGGCCAGGAGTGAACAGAATTAGTGAATTGTTATTTTTTATATTACATCAATGTTTCGGGCTAGCTTTAGGATCCCTGTGTGGGGCCGGTTATTCGTCAGGTTAATACTTGGTTTTTAACGGAAATTATTACACGTAATCGCCCCGGAAAACCTGGATGCGCCTTTGCAAGGTTACGTCAGGACTCAAGGAAGGACCAACTTACACGACCAGCAATAGGCCAGCCTCAGTACCCCGCACACTGGGTGCTCCCGCCTATGACGTCAGGCGGTGAGACGACCGGTGAGAGGCCAGAAAATCTCGGGTTACGCAGGACGTCATTGCAACCGAATCTGTCGAACACACGCACGACACGCTATGGAGATCGTTTCTTACTATGCACGTATGATGGCAGAACACTCTCCACAGACACCGATCTTCACGCTCTCCTTGTAGCCGTGGATCGCATTAAATTTCATGTGATCGCATT